TTTTATTTTATTTTATTTTTTTTTTGGTTGAGAAGTTTGAGGAATATGAGATATTTTGGGTAAGTAGAAATAACCGAATTTAGAAGAAATGAAAAAAAGGAAGCACATTTATGAATACACACTCTCTCTTTATTCAACGAGAGAGAAAGAAAGTGAGGAATTCCATCGGCAAAAAAATGGTTCTGATCATCATCATTATCATAGATGACGGTGATATGTGAAACAAACGAAATGGAAGAAAATAAGAGAAAGAAAAATAAAAAAGAATTTTCATTGACTTGAAACAAAAATACGTTATCGATAGAGGGAGAACAATTTAAAATGAAAAAAAATTTACAAAAAAAAGGATCATATCATCATCATTATCATCATCATCATCACCGACAACCGACAAAGAAAAGTTGAATAGTCAATAGAATTCAAAGAAAATAAATAATAATAATAATAAAGTAAATGAAAAATTCTCTGTAGAAAAGAATAATTGGCACATACACACACACATATTGAAAAAGACGAGTTATGAAATAAATGGGTCGATTTCATTTTTTAAATTCAAATAAGTTTTTTGCTCACTTGCTTTCATTTCATTTTTTTTTTTGAACAAATAGTATTTTCCGCTATAGCGACACACACACACTGAAAGGCAAAACTGGAATTGAATTCTGTAATATTTGACAAACGAAAAAATTGTTTCCTTTTTTTTCTGGGCAGATCAAATACAGAAGTTTCCGGTATACATCGTCAACAACAACAACAACAAAAATTGTGGCAAAATTCAATTGGAGACTGAAAAATGCAAATAATAACCCTTCGAGCAAAAAAAAAGAATTTTTTTTTCTGCAAAATTAAATTTTATTGTTGTTATAATAACAACAACAACAACAAATTGAAGATTACATTTCATGAATGAATTTTGGATTTGTAAAACCAGAATAAAATCTGGACAGAATAAATGAAGAAGAAGAAAAGTTTCTGAAAATAATTGGCCAATGTGCGTTTTAAAGCGATTTTATTATTTTCATTAAGAATTGAAACCACTAATACGGGTAATATGATCATAATTATCGATAATGTCCATCATCATCATATTGGAAAAGCATTTTGTTATATAATAATGACCAATTTATTTGTTCATGTTTCCAGATTGAACGATAATGATGATGATGATGATGACAACAAAAAAAATCAATTTAATTTTACCGAAAAAATTTATTTATTTCTTTAAAAAAAGAGAAGACTTTTTTCTATTCTTTGAAATTTTAATGATTTTCAATGAAAGAAAGAAACAAACAAGCAAACAAACAAAAAATATCAATGAATAATGATGGTCATCGATTTGGCAATATGGCCATCATCATTATCATCATCATCATTATTATAATCAGTTACTAAATATAGACCAAATAATCAAATAGAATCGAAAATAGTTTCTCTATCTTTCTTCCGATGGACCAATAGATGAATGAATAAATAAATATTTCGGATTGATCCAAAATTGGAAATTTTCTTCTTTTTTTTCGGTTTGGACATTGTGGATATATTTGTTGTTGACTATATATAACATTACTATTTTGTGTGTGTATGATTGGTAAACATCATATTAAACATTTTCGTTATATTTTATTTTTTCTGGAAAACGAAAGAGAAAAAAAAATTTTGCCAATTGCAATAAAGTTCTGTTGTTGATAATAGAGGATAAAAATTGTAGAAAAAACAGAATTGGCAAATGTAAATAAGAAAAAAAAATAACAGTGATCTGATCTGATAGAATCTATCTTCTCATTTGAAAGTTTTTCATTTCTGACCACCGCAATAAAGACGGACCGAATATAGAAACAAATATCAAAATTCAATAAGATTCAATAATGTTCATGTCAGTAGTGGAAAAAAATATGATTGATTTTGTGTTATTAAACGAAGAGAAATAAAAACTGACAACAGAAAAATCATATATAAATTCAGATTTGATTTCAATGGACAATTATTATTTCTTTACACAAAGTCAAAAAAATGACGAATTGATTTTTATATGTCAATCTTAGAACAAAAAAAAACAATGTTTGAACATTGAACAAGAAAACGTTTCATTCCAAAACAAACAAAAACCAACAGAACCAATTTATTCCAAAATAATAGAAAAATTAATGATTCTATGATGATTCTTAATCATAGAATCATTTCAGAATACAATTCATAAGCAATATACTTGAATGGATAATTTAACATCCAATTAAACATTGAATGAACAATATAAATTAGATGTGAGCCAATTAAGTTATTGTGATTGAGCCAACATAAAACAAAAACTAATGATGATTATATATCGAATCGATTCTCAATTTTATTGGGTAAAAAAATTCTTAAGAAATATAGATAAATAGTACAAAAAAAAGTGCTAAAAAACAAAAACAAATAAAAAAACAAACATCCACACACAATTCATTCATAGGCCAAACCAAATATGAACATAGAATATATAAATGAAGAATAGCAATGATGATGATGATGATGATAATGACAGCTATCAAGACAATGTCAAAAAACAAAGCAATTTGTCTTGGAAACACACACATCTCATCTATAATCATATAATATCTACCAAAACGCAGAATGATACAATATTGCCAATATTTATTTGTGAAAACATTGTTACAATTGTTGGGTAATGACATTTTCTATATTTGAAATGTCTAAACACCCCAAACAAAAAAGAAAAAAAAACCGATTAGATTTTTTGATGTGTATTTTTGGGATGATGACAATTAGTTGAACCATAATTTATAAAGTATTATTAGATATTTGTATGGAAAAAAATGATTCCAAGAAGGGAAAAAAATTATCAGGATTTCTTGTTCAAAGCATCCTTTTTTTTCGCTGTTGTTGTTGATTGAACAAAAAAAACATGAATATAATGATTGAGAGAAAAGATGATATTATGATTGTTCAATAATAATTATAATCATATTGGATAAACCAATTGTATTGTCAATTATTATTATGTTCATTTTTATTTTGGTTTTGTCTTTTCTTCGAAAACAAAACGAGCAATCATTACGAATTAGGATAGAATAAAAGATGAGAATTATATTTGATTTGGTAATGATAGACGAATTGAGCGTGATTGTGGTGGTCACCAGTTAGAAACCAGAAAAAAAACGGTAAATATATTTGATTATTGCCAAGAATTACCACCATTATCATTGTTGTTAAAATGGTTCTTGAATCACCATCATCGGTTTGAATAGTGTAGAAAAAAGCTCAATTTTTTTGATGTTTAATGCCGTCGTCGTCAACGACAACGGTTATTTATGAGTTTTTCTTATTTTCATTTTCATTCGTAAAACAAACATCGATAAAAAGAATGTTCAAATAATAATTTTTTTCACTCATTTGACGGTCCTGGATGAATTTTCATCAAAGTGGAGAAGTTAAATGTTTGTGGCAGCCAACAAAAAAAAACATTAACCCGGGCTCAATTTTCAAAGAAAAATAAGCGATCATTTGCACAATATGTGTGCATTAAATATCGAGGGTGAACAAAAATATTAGCAAAGATAGCAATGTCGTCAATCTTGAAGCTGAAATCCATGTTTTAAGAATCGAACAAAATAAAATTTTAAAAAAAGCAATCAGTATTTTTGTTGAATTCAAAATTTGAATTTGAATTTAGCATTTAAATTTGTTTTGTTTTGTTTTTTCCCATTTAGCATGAAACAATATTGACGCCCAAGGCCAACACCTAAACATTCTCATTGAATTAAAATAAACAAAAAATTTCAACATTGTTTAAACTATTGTTTTATCACCCAAACACAAATGTTTGTGCAAATCAAATTAACAAACGGAAAAAATAAATCAAAGATTTACATTGTTAACAAACAACAAAAAAAAAGTCAAATGTTTGTTTCGATAATTTTAATCTCTTTTTTTCCTATTTACACAATAAAATACAGATACGATTGACAACAACAAGTTTGACAGTAACAACTAAAACAAAAATGTTATCATTACAAAGTGCTAAAATAATGATTACAATGAAAAAAGTATTTGGTCCTTATAAAGTAAAATGGATGAATGGCAAACACAACACTATATCAATCCCTATGGATGCCCCCAAGTTTTGTATATGTGTTGACGAACATGTCTCAACATTCCCTTTTTTTTTGTTACACATTCCCTAATAATCATAATAATGATAGTGTTTGTGTGTGTGTGTGGATAATCATTGAAGCAAAGAGGAGTAACAAAAAAAAATATAGACATCCAAATTTAACCCCCCGTTAGATAAATTTTTTCTTTGATGAGTTTAGTGTAATGAGATTAAACAATAATAAAGTTAGAAAAAAAATATAAGAATAAACAAGAGAAGAGAAGAGAAAAAAACAAACTAAAGAATTAGCTTTTCTTTTCTTTTTTTTCTCAGTAGAATCCTAAGAAAATGTGTGATGAATGGAACGTGATGAACGTATTTTCACATAATAAACGTGTGTGGAGATCTATTCAATCTAAATCTTTGCGATGAAACAAAACAAAACAAAACAAGAAAAAAGATCAGATAAAAACAAAAAATTCTTTAATAAAAAAAAGAAGCTTGTTTATAAAGGATACTAATATTAGCTAATCAAAAGTTTTCAACCAATTTCATTCAACAATGTTTAATAGTTTGTAATGATTATTCCCCAATGTGGGTGTGTGTATCTTGTCTCACATAGAAAAGTGAGAAATAATTAGAATATAATCCCAACAAAATCTCGACAAGAATAATATTAAATTTTGACGCAGATAAAAAAAAATCGATTCTAATGTAATCATTTATATGACTGAAAATAATGAAAAATCATTGATCATCACAATCAATGTGATCCATCATCATTTGATGGTTATAATAATAAATGATAGATTTTAGTTAAATTCTTTCATTTCTTTAATACTCATTAGTTTGATTTATTAGTGAATGGAATAAAGGTGTCAAAAAAAATAGAAAAACTAATTTTACTTACAAATCCATAGCCACGAGATTTACCCGTCTGACGATCGGTAATAACAACAGCTTCTTCAATATCGCCGAATGTTTCGAAAAATTGTCGTAATGATTTATCGGTTGTATGATATGGTAGACCACCGACAAATATTTTTGTAAATGTTGTATCTTTCATTGGTTGATAATAATTACTATTATTATTATTATTATGATTAGTATTAGTGGCTATCGATGTTGATGAGGATGATGTTGATGGTGATGATGTTTGATTTTGATGATTTTGATAATGATTATGATTATTATGATGTGTCGGTACGCTTGCTGGTGGATGCATCACATTATTATTATTTGTCATTGTAGCATTATTAACCATATTCGATGGTTGTATTGATGATGATGATGTTGAAGAATTTTTCGATACTTTTAATTGATGATTATTAATAGCACTAGCACTATTTGTTGCTGATGATAACGTGGATGATGATGTTGTCACCGCTGTTGCTGCTGTTGTAGATGATAATGATGATGATGTAATAACTGAAGCAGTCACTGAATTTGTTGTTGATGGTTGTTGTTGTTGAGAATTTGGCGATAATGGAGACGGTACCGGTGATGATGATGACGATGATGATGATGCCAATGATGATGATGTTGTTGTTGTTGGCTTACCATTCACTGATAGATTTGTTTCATTCACAGCCATATTATTATTATCAATAACGATTGTATTATTTCCGGTTATTTTTTGTTGCTGTTGTTGTTGATGATGATTTCCCATCGATGAATTCGATGACTGTGAATTTGTCATCGATGTTGGTGACGATGAATTATTATTATTATTATTCAAATGATTACAAACTGTTGTAGAATTATTGTTATTCGAAGAATTTAAAGAACTATTATCCAAAGGATTCAGATTTCCATTTGTCATATTCAAATCATTATTATTATTAATATTGTTATTGTTGTTAGAATTCAAACCAGTATAATGATGTTGATGCGAATTATTATTATGATGATGATGATGTTGATGATGATTATGATGTGGATAAGGTGCGTTTATAGACTGTGGTGGTGGTGGTGGTGGGGGTACCGTTGTAAATGATGACATTAACATGTGATGATAATCATGAAATTGTTGTTGTGCTTGTTTGATTGAATAAGGATCAATACCGGTACAGGAAACTGCTGCTGCAGCAGCAGCGGCCGCTGCTAATACAGAATTATTAGATTGATGTTGTTGTTGTTGTTGTTGCTGTTGTTGTTGTTGTTGTTGATATTGTTGATGTTGATGAAAATGATGTTGATGATGATGTGGATGATATTGATGATGCCAAGCATTATTGGCCATAGTTATTGCTGCCAATGTAGCAGCTGCTGATGTTTTTATTATCGTTTTTGATTTGTTCAATGTTTTGGATACACTTCTACCAACACTTTTATTATTATGATGATTATTATAACAAGATTTGATTGTTGTCAATTTAATAACACTTGAATCAATAGGATTTGTTGTCATCGAATAAATGTTAATGTTTTCGATAATAACCAGAATATTCTGCAATTAATATAGCATTGTTCATTTATAATTTATAGAATAGTTTTATTTCCCCTATACCAAAATAATTGATTCAATTCGTAAAAATGTGAAGAAAACAAAATCAGGCACACAATTCCAAATGAAATAACAACAGCAATAACAACAATAACTATAATGAAAATAAAACAATTAAAAGGCGACAAATGTTTGTTCTTATGTGGATTAGATTAGATTACAAACACAAAACACACAACACATTTAATTTGATTTCGACAATTTTGATGGCTTAACATTTGATACTTTGTATTAACTAGATGATGATGATAATCGATTATTCAATACAATAATTACACAATCAAACAACAATCAAAGATCATCATTATTAGTGATGTGTATGGTAAATAATAATAATTATCATCATTGATTGAATCAACAAAGGTTGTTTGCCAAATAATTACATTAAGCCATTTTTTTTATATTTGTATTTCTTTTCTTTTTTTTATATCGGTTTCATGTGTTCGAACGGAGTATTCCCAAGTATTTATCTGAATTAATGAATTTCTAAATAAAGAAGGCAAAGAATGAAGAAAAAGAAGAAGAAAATCTTTGATGAGAATCGGAAATTTTATTTTCGGGAAAAAAATATTAAGGTTTTTTTTAAAAAAAAGAAATTTGCCGGAAATCATGAATGATATGTTGTTCAATTATTTTTCTCGGTGGAAAAAAACGAAAGAAAGAAGGATCCTTAGAGAATAAATTTCCACCATCAATTGTAAATATAGAATTGATCGAGATGTACACACACACAGACGCTAAACAACAAAATATCGTTGAATCAAATGTAAAATTTTCAATTTAAAAGTTTAAAAGTTTTTTTCAAGTTTTAACAACGAAAAAATTGAAAAAAAAATTCCTAATATCATATCCCTAATTAAATTTAGCGTATTTTTTTCCTTGTTCGGTTGCAGTCAAAACTAAATTTTTCGATTCTAAAGTATTTTAAAAGACTTGAAAAATTTTGTTTAGTGTAAAGAAAGAAAATGTGAATTTTGTTTTTTTCTTTCGTTCATAGTTTGCACAGAATTAGAGATCAAACATTAATCTAATATCAATATAGCCGTTTTCATTATTTCTATGTGTGTTTGTTTCTGTTTGTGTTCCAAATTATAAAAAAGGTTCCATAATTATGGCCCAAAAAAACGAATCAACAAATCCTTTAGAAACATTAACAGTGAAAAATTCTTCTTCTTTTTTACTTTGTTTTTTATTTTGAAAATAAAAAATTATTTAAACATCAATTCATTGATACAAAGATGATACTAAAATCGATCATATCCATTTCAAATTCTAATCATCATCATGATCATAATGATGATTTGATAACCACGTCCATCATGAACGATGGACACACATGTGTGTGCATTCAATTCGTCCATAATATATTCTCATTTTGTTTTTTTTTCGTTGAAAGATATAGAAATTCCAAATAAAGAATAAATAAATAAATGGAATGATGATACTTTTATATTTATGGTTTGTTGTTGTTGTTGTTGTTGTCAACAAAATGTTAGCATTATAATTAATTATTCATTTTATGGAATATTCTCTGTTTTTTTTCTTCTTCTTCTTTCATTTTCTTTTTTATTCTGATGAAATTTTTCAAAAATAAAAAAAAAGTTTCAAAATCATCAATATTTTCGATCAAAAGCCATTCATGCTGTTGTTGTTGTTGTTGTTATTATTATACACAGACATTAAAAATATACATTTTATTATTATTATTATTTCATAGATTAAAATATTACATAATAGTGGTGAAAATATATCTCGTTAAATCAACATCAAAAGGAAAAAATAAAATTGACTAATACCAAACAACAACAACAACAACAACAAGACCAGGCAAACAAACAAATGAAAAAAAAGAAACATCCATTGAAATGATGAGGAGACCATTTCTCCTGTATAGTTCGACCATACCTGACAGTAATAACGAACAGAACAGAACTTTTTAGATCCACAATCATATACCAAAATCATTATGATAGGTTACAAATTTTTCCTTTTTTTTCCATTTTATCTGGATGGGAGAAAGGAAAAAAAAATGAAAATTACTTTTTTTTTTGCTTTCATTCCTGAAATGTGTGTTCACACGCTGTGTTTGTGATCCATATATGGTACATTGGACCCAAAGCATAGGAAATAGAAAATAGAAATCCCTCTGCACAAACACATAAAACTCAAACACCAGAATGGGCAGTTCAAAAATAGTTTCGTGCCAGATCAAATTCTACCTACAAAACAAAAAATTAATTTTTTCCCCATTAGTAATAGTAGGCAAAAATAAAATTCACCAGAATATTATTCCGAAAAAAAAGAAGCTATTACTTTGATTGGACTTGGTTTGTTTTTGGTTTTTCTTTCATTCAATTGGATTTCGTATGTGCAAAAAAAAACCTCAAGATTTTGAATCATAATTCGAAAAAAAAGGAAAAAATAGAATCATTGAAATAAAAGTTATTTGGAAAAAAATTATTATCAAGTTTCTTGATCAAAACAATTTTGGTGAATAGTTTGAATTTGAATTTGAACAAAACAAAATTCATAATTTTAATTTTAACTTGAAAAAAATTCTGGATTCTCTTACTAGAAACAAAACAAAGCAATAAAAAAAGAAGAAAAATAAAATTCAATAATCCAAACAGATAAATAAAAATACCACAAAAATGATGAGGACGATTTTTTTAAAAAAAACTTTTAGAAACTATTAAAACCATACCAATAATATCTATGGCAGTGAATAGAAAAAAAAATTTGTAAAACTCCAAAAAAAATCCAGAATGAAGAATCCAATATCAAAATGAAGAAAATAAAATGACTAACGACAGCAATGATCATAATCATACATATGAAAACTTTTTATTTTCAAATATTTCTTTGGTCCTGGCCTGATGTTTCTGTAGTTCAGAGTCGTTGTTTTTATGTTAAACTAATGAATTTTATGGCTATCACCGATGATTACGAAAGAAAAAAGTTTAAATTCTTTTGCCTGCCTCATTCATTTGTATTTGTAGAGAAAAGTCATGTCATATGTATGGGTATGTACGGTTAGATAGAATGGTTCTATGACCTAAATTATTAACTATATCCGGAGTATACAAAAAATTAAAACTCACAACAAATAAGCAATATTTTTTTGAGAATAAAAAAATCCAAATGGTCATTCAGAATGAATTTAATTAATTTTTGTATGCGAAACAAAAAAAAAGGATATCATTGACGTAAGAGCCAAAAAAAAAAAAAATAAAATAAAATAAGTTTCTAAGTTCTATATGAATAAAATATTTATCATTTGACTATTTAATTAGATAACAATGATGCTAAATCCAAATTATGACATTTAACTAATGTTTTTAAAAAAGAATTGAGAGAATCTTATTTTTTTCAATATGGATAACAACAACAAAAACAAATTCTTATTAGCTTATTAAATTTTTCTTGGCAATTATTTCGAAAGAATAGATTTTCAGTAGCAGAAAAAAAGTAAGAAAAAAAACTTGACAAAAAGGATCTGGTTTCATGGTTAATATTGAAAAAAAAGTTGAAAAGAAAATCGGTTATAAGTCGTCAGTGATAAAAAGAAGAAAAAGGATTTTTTTTTTGACAGAAAATGAAATAAATGGCCTAAAACTGTTTTAACTGGATTTAGAAAATAAATGGATCTTTTCCTTGATTTTGTTTCAACCAAATATACCGGATCTACTCTACCAAACCAAACAACAACCAGCATCATTACACAGCTATGAAAATTTATGTAAATTATTGTTATGATTATATCTTGTTGGCACGCAACTAAACGACCCGACGACAACGACAACAACAACAACAGTAAACATTTCCACATAATCAATGGACAAAAAGGATCAAATGGAAAATAACCGGCTTTATTGTGTGTGTGCGTGCTTATTCATCACAAACACACTCCCACACATAAAGAATAGAAAATATCATTAAAAAAACTTTGTTCCGTTGATTTATCATTAATTAATATTTAAATATAAAAAAAAATTTGTTATTTATGTATGCATCAATTTTGTTTGTTTGTTTACAAATCCAATGCCAATCACTTTTGTTTTTTCAGACTCTAGAATCAACAAACCAGAATCATGTGTTGTGTGTTTGTTTGTACTTTTGTTCCAAATGGTACAAACAAACCAAAATTTATGATGCAAAAAAAACAAAAAACTATCGACGGAAAAAAAGTAGAACTTGGACAGTGATTATTTTTGTTGTTTTGCTTTGTTTTATTTTCTTTTTTCCTATCCATCACCGGAATCTTCTTTGCTTTTGTTGTTTTTAACATTAGTGTTGGCGCCGGTGACCGTCATCAAAGACAACTAACACGATGATGATTATGATGATGGAATAAAAAGAAATTTTTTTAAGAAGATTAAATTGTCAATTAGGCTAATTAGATTCGTGAATGTAGCAACAAAAAAAAAAAAAAAAAAAAAATGCCAGACCAAAAAAAAAATTTTAAAAAATGACTTTTTTTTTTATATTTTGAAAAAAAAGCTACTA